AATTGGTGTCAGAAGTGAGGGCCACTGATCCATCAGTTGCCTGGAGCCAGTGATGCCTCACCAGTCAGAGAGTCTATTTTTCTCAAACCAGTTTTTTTTTTTTTTTTTTTTTTTTTACCCATAGTTACAGATTTCCAAGTTCTGATAATTCCTGCATTGTGAAACTTGGGGGGTGGCTGTCCAAAGTTTATCACATTACTCCTAAGATGTAGAAATCACAGGTATAAATAGTATAATTCCTGTCTAGTTTGCCCGTATTGTCTTCCCTCTCCATCTCCCTGGCCCTACCCTTTCTTTTTCTTCTTGGTGTATACATATATATTTCCTAAAGAGACATTTTCAACTTATTTTACTTGAAAAAAAGAACTTTTGATCAATTTCCCCCTGCCAGGGTCTCATTACATCTGTATGCCTGGAATCCAGTCCTGACATAATCTCATGAACACAATGGACACACAGCTTCATAGCTCAATTTCTCTTCAAATGTTGCCTTCTGAAAATAGTTTGAACACAGAAGACAAATAGCTCCATATGTATATCTATGTGTTTTTCATGTATGTACATATACATGTTCATATGTGTGAGTGCCTGGGTGGAGGTTTATAAGTGCATGTGTATAGAGTGTGAGGTTAATGTTGGATGTTTCCTTAATCACTCTCCACCTTTGAGGTCCAGGAAGGATCGTCACTGAACCCAGAGCTCACTGTTTATCTGTCTGTCTCACCAGCTTGCTGATTCCCTGATCTGACTCCCACAGGATGTTATTATAGACAGCGCTCCATGACCACCTAGCTTTTATATGGGTATGGGAGATTCAAACTTCTTTTTGCTTACGTAGCAAATGCTTTACCTCCTGAACTAGCTCTTCTGCCTTTTTACAGGCTGCTGAGGGAGAAAAGTCATCAGCCATCTTACCTAGCTGCTTTGTGAGCTACAACAATGATCAGCCAGCAATAGATACCTATCTGTGTAATAGAGGCACGAGTGTTATGGGGGTAATCAACAGCTTTCTAATTGGATTTTTAGGGCTCACTCCACAGGAGGAAGCTCGGGTCTGGTACTATAAATCTTTCCCGGAACACATGTGCATACTGGCAGCCTCAACTAGACTCAGCAATTTACGGGAAGGGTTGTAGGGGAGGGCATGGGGAATGGATTTGATGAAATACGTTTGTATACTTGTATGAAACTACAAAAAAAAATACATTGCCATTTTGTCTCTAGAAAAAGAAGAGGGAGGAAGGGGGAGAGAGAGTTGACTTTTCAAAATGACAAGTAGTTGTGAACTTTTAAAACTGTGAAGACTTGATGTTTTCTCTTCATAAAATAAGGTACTAACTATTCCTCATTAAATGATTTCTAGGCTTTTGTGAACTCAACCAATCAATTTGAGGTAATGTTTGCCTTTAAATCTCAGTAATCCTTTCCATTAGACACTTGAATTACACTCACAGCTGGATTTTATCAACTAAATAGTGATTAAAGACAAAATAGGCAGGACTTTGGAAAGTGTTGGGTAAGAGAAAATATGTAGATGGTTTACAGCATATTCACTAAGTCATGCATTTTCCTACACAGGAATGTTTATTGTTCAGAAATACCTGCAGTTCTTCAAAATACCAAAAGTATACTTACGAACTAAATACTACAAAAATGGCTAAACATACATTCATATTTATTTCAGCAAAGAAAATAATATTGTATACTTAAGCAATGTTGATTTTCAAGATTGTAACAATATTAAATTGTTGCAATGTTGATTTTCAAGATTATAACAATGTTAAATTGTTAAATGTATTAAATATGGTGACACTTTAATTCACTGAATGCTATGTCTTATGAAGTTGATTAGTAATGGCAACAAGTAGATGATTATGTGGGAAATAAGCAAGAGAATATTAATTTTGAAAGCCCTCACACTCACAACAAAATGTACATTTGAAGATTATTTCGTGGGGAAGGAGGGAATGATGTGGAAGGAGAGATACATAATTAGATAAGAGAAGATACATAAGTTTTGTGAGAATGTGGATATAGTTTTGCCATTTTTCTTTAAATTTTTAAATGTTAATTTTGTCATTTTTGTTGGCTATTGAGGCAGTAATTAATTGACACTCGTCACAATCAATATGATCATAGATCAGCTCACAGAGGCTAGCCTCTGCCTATACCTAAAGAATAAATCTTTGATCTACACTCATCATGGTGATTTGTCATTGAATTAGATGTCAGTACATGATAATCTGTATGGCATTGGTTCTCAACCTACCTTATGTTGCAACACTTTAATACAGCTCCTTGTGCTTTGGTGAACCTCCCAACCATAAAATTATTTCATTGCTACTTCATTACTGTAATTTTGCTACTGTTATAAATCATAATGTAAAAGTATGATATATAGGATATCTGATATGCAATCCCCAAGGGGTCACGACCCACAGGTTGAAAACCACTGGTCTGGGAGGGGGGATCTGTAGGTATGTATTTTATCTTGTTGGGTTGATGATAAGGTGCTTTTTAAAAATGATCCTTCATCTAAGTGCACTATATAGGAAGAACCACTCAAAGTCACCTTTAGCTTGTTCTATAGATGTCACACCTGTGACTCAGCAGCTGTCATAAAATATTAAGAAAGATGGCCCTAAGTACATTGATTTACTGTAAATGAAGGGAATGTTATGGAAAGAGCCTGAATTTATGCTGAGGTGGCCAGCCTTGAAACACCCATGCCTCTGTGTTTTAGGTACTAGGGGCTAATAACTAGCCTCATTAATTTAAGCTCGTATCTAATATGGTTGTTTTCTTTGGGGAACAAAATATAACCTGACAACTGCTATTTTGTGTTTTCATGAACAAGCTATTAACCAACTTTTTAAACATTTTTAGTCGGAGGATATTTAAGGTGATGAGACAATTAATACCATAGAGCTCACAAAAGCCAGACAGAGTCTTCTTTTCTTTAACTATGTTTCAGGCAGTGAGATAGTACAATGGGTACAGGGAGACCACACAGTGGGTACAGGGAGACCGCACAGTGGGTACAGGGAGACACACAGCGGTACAGGGAGACACACAGCGGGTACAGAGAGACACACAGCGGTACAGGGAGACACACAGTGGGTACAGGGAAACCGCACAGCGGGTACAGGGAGACACACAGCGGTACAGAGAGACACACAGCGGGTACAGGGAGACACACAGCGGTACAGGGAGACACACAGCGGGTACAGGGAGACACACAGTGGGTACAGAGAGACACACAGTGGGTACAGGGAGACACACAGTGGGTACAGAGAGACACACAGTGGGTACAGAGAGACACACAGCGGGTACAGGGAGACACACAGCGGTACAGAGAGACACACAGTGGGTACAGGGAGACGCACAGCGGTACAGAGAGACACACAGTGGGTACAGGGAGACACACAGTGGGTACAGAGAGACACACAGTGGGTACAGGGAGACACACAGTGGGTACAGGGAGACACACAGCGGTACAGAGAGACACACAGCGGTACAGAGAGACACACAGCGGGTACAGAGAGACACACAGCGGTACAGGGAGACACACAGTGGGTACAGGGAGACACACAGTGGGTACAGGGAGACACACAGCGGTACAGAGAGACACAGCGGTACAGAGAGACACACAGTGGGTACAGGGAGACGCACAGCGGGCAGAGGCTTCTGCTACACAAACACTGCAGTCTAATTTAATCACTGGACTTACGCAAAGGGAAAAGGAGAGAATAACTCCATAAATTGACCATATTTTTAAAGATTCCCCAGACCTGAAATTAAATATGGGGAACAATGAAACAAACCATTTTGGACTTGGAGATTGAATATGAGAACATGGAGTGATTTAAAATGAAACTACACAGACACACACACACAACCCTCCCAATGTAGTTCCCAGCTCTGAGTCATCCATTTACTGAAAGACTGACCAATCGAATGCAAAACTTCTTTTGGATTTGACTCTAGTTAGAGGGAAGTGTAATTTCCTGGAGAATTGCTCAATATAAAATTCCCTGATGACATAATATATCCATGTTTGAAATTGTGACCATTTCACTGATTAAATTTTTTTTTTCTTTTAGGTACAAAAGTAGTTGATACAAACGGTTTTATAAAACAAGGAAGGTTGCTTTTGAGATAAAGATACTAAAATCTTTAGACTGTGTGGCTCTAACTTCTTATTCATAATATAAAAAGTAAAAATGGCCGTGGTGGCGGCGGCGGCGGCAGCGGCGGCGGCGGCGGCGCACACCTTTAATCCCAGCACTCAAGAGGCAGAGGCAGGCCGATCTCTGAGTTCGAGGCCAGCCTGGTCTACAGAGTAAGTTCCAGGACAGCCAGAGCTACACAGAGAAACCCTGTCTCAACCCACTCCCCCTCCTCCACACGCAAAAAAATAGAAACAACCATAGGAGAGGAATAACAATATTTTTTGTTAAAAAGATTAAAAACTTAAATGAAGGTACAGTTATTCAGTATGAATTGCTAGAGATGGAAGAACTCATAAGTATCTGAAATATTCCGGCATATGTTAGAAACAATCAAAGAACTAGAAACCAGTGCGGGAGGGCTGAGCTACAGCATCACTTCATACGCTGGCTCGCCTCACTCACTATACGGCAGGCTGCTGTCAACTTACCTTGATCCTTCTGTCTGTCTCTCAAGGGCTAGGATTAGCCCTGTACCACTGTGACCGACCAGTCTTCTCTATCTGAAGTTGTGATGAGAACCAGGGATAGTAACCAGTGAGGTTGGGCAGGTTCCCTAAATCAGCTCTTCTGAGAACGCCCTTGCTGGAGGCCAGGAATGCCAATGCAGGGCTCTGGTTCCTGTTTCTGTGAGGCTCTTAAATAAGCATCTCTGCCTAGAGGTGTTAGAGACTGTGTGACAGAAACTGAGACAGGCACCTGGACAGACGGGCGCCTTGTGGTTGAGCCAACTGGACCGACCAGCACACATCTCCCTCCTGGATTGCTTACCTGGGTGAGTCGACAGTCCTCAAGAGAGTTCCAGGGACGAGGTTCCAAAATGAGACTGTCTTCAGAAGAAACCCGGAGGCAAGCCCCCCCAAGTGACACGGTCTAGAAATAATACGTCCTGGGAGTCTTGATTGGGTTCAGTTTTCCTGTCAGTTAAAGAAATAAAAGGCAGAAAAAAAAATCTGAAGCGCAACAGAGAACAGCGGAGAGCCCCCCAAGCACGGCTCACAGACTCAGCAGTTGAAGGAGGGTGGTTATGAGGGTGAGGAAACACACGCAGGCAGCAGACACACAGAGAAAAATACCTCGGCGAGGCAGAGACGGGTCCTCCGGCAGCCGAAAAACCCGGTCTCTACTGGAGGCCTGGGGTTTTAAAGGCTCTGAAAAGCCTTCCTACCCACTTTAGGGCTGGTCAGTTTGGAGACAGATAGGATGGCTGATTGGTCCAAAAATATGTGTGACACGTCCTCATCAGGCCTTGAGCTTGTTGAGCCAGTTCCCCGGAGGGGATTCTTGAGGCCTTTGTCTCAAGTTAGGAGACCGAGGAAGAAACTGGTCACCTTTGTTACCAGTTTGTTATCAATCTGTCTGCCTTCCCCGGAAGTTTAACTCCTGATCACTGACCCTGACAGACAAAAATACCAGCTTCTGGAAACTGGAGAAGAGATGGGCAGCAACAGACTCCACCTGGAGCTTGCTTCAAGTGCAGCAAAGAATTGCCCCATGGCTCCCCCGCTGCCAAGGCCCTGCCTAAACTATGGAAGTTGTTGGATTGACTGCCCAACTCTGCCTCTCCAAGGTAGTTTTTCCAAGTTCCTCCTCCACGGGAAAATCTCTTAGACCTTCTTGGTCTGGTGGCTGAAGGCTGATGTTGCCCTGTGTGGCAGCTGAAGACTTAACGCTGCCCTGTGTGGCTGCCCAACACTGACAACCTTTGCCCCCGACAAAGCCACTGACATCACCACACTAGCTGTCCAGGTAACAGGTAAATGCGTCATTCTTAACTGACACATCTGGTTTATACTTCCTGCTCAAATGTGTCCCTCTCCGGTCTCTGTGTGTTGATGGCCCTAGCTTTATCAGTTTGAGAGCAGCAAGTTGACCTTAGCCAGCTCCTCCCCCCAAGGCTATTTCCTACTTAAAATCAGGCCTTGCCTTTCCTAAATCTCAGGTCTCCAGCTGAGACAGCCAAGCTCACAAAACAAGTTTGCCTAGCCGCCGACCCACTTCATGCTGAGAAAGATAAACTCACAAAACAGATTTCAATGTAAAAGCAAACTCAAGCTAGTTTGTTGCTATCACTAAAAATTTGCATTTTGCTACTCCTTTATTTAAGAGAGCTTGCTTTTTAATGACTTTTCTCAGTAATCAAGTGCCTGTGCCTCGTGGTAAATGGTTAGATATTTCCGGATAAGAAAAAGTTTAGGTCTACCTAAGGGAGTTCCAGGACAGCTAGGGCTACACAGAGAAAACATGTCTCAAAAAAAAAAAAAAAAAGGAAAAAGAAAAAAAAATTAAAGTTTATGCAAGTTGTAAAGATCTGGGGAATGAATTTAAAGTATGGGAAAATGATTTAAGGGATGTGAAAATGAAATTTAAAGGTAATGCAAAGGCTAAGACTTCAAAGTTCTCTCAATGGAATTCTGATGTGTTAATCTATCCTTGGTAAAACACTGGCTACTAAACCTTTTTTAACTATCATAGTCACAGGCTCAAACTTTTCAATTTCCTTTGGTTATTTTCTAAATATAGACTTGAAAGTGCTTCCCCTTGTGCTAAAGACATCTCTGTCTCTTTGTTTTTCTCCCCGCCAAGAAGTTTGTCTTATTACAAATAAATAAACACTCATGCTTTTACTATGCTGGTAACTTTTCACGTTTGTTTTGCGATGGCTCAGAGGTGTGTGTCTACTCCCACTGTTTATAGACATTTGTTAACTAGTTTCCCTACAATGATGACTTCAGTGCAGATTACAGACAGTGGTCATGCTGATATCTAAAACTTTGACCTCTTTCTGTGAGCTTAAAACTATTCATGTAAACTTCAGGGGGTTGAGACTTGGATCCACCTGTGACAGGTCATGCGTAATCTGGGATCCCTTGCCAGTCACTGTGAAACCAGTGTGACGGCTCCCCCACACACACAACCACCCCCCCCCCCCCACCCCCACCTCCCCCTCCCTCTCTCTCTCTTTCTTTCCCTCTCTCTCCAGACTCACTCAGCTAACCCCATCCTGGCCTTTGACTCAAATTCCGGTCTTCCTAGACTGCCAGGACAACCCTCCCCAGCCGAGAAGCAGCCACAGAGGAGAGACACTACATCAGCCCTTATCATCAACAAACGGCTGGACTGTTAGTTCTCTCAGCTGTCCAAATATACAGAAATGAGCTCAAGCTGGACTATAGGGGGATTTCTGGAGGTTAGATAAAAAGCCGGCATTCCTCGGGAAATTTTGAAACCATTTCCCATCTGCCAAATGTTGTCATTTCCTTTACCTCTGGCAGAGGGACATATGGCTCCATTGAGCCGTGTGGGGCTGCATATCAAAGCCATGCCAGGCTCCAGGCTCCCTCAATCACTACTCATAAGTATTTGCTATGCATTTCAAAGTCCCCACACCAGTCTCCTGGCCTTCCATCCCAGCTACCCACCCTCCTTATAACCTCATATTCTGACTATACTCTTTCTTGTTATCCGTTTACTATCTCTTATTCCTGAACTCTCACTGTATCAACTCTCACACTATCTCCGCTCTTCTCTCCCGCTCTCCCGCTTCCCTAGCCCTGGCCACGTCCAGTCTGCTGGCCATGTTCTGTCTACATCTTTTTCTCTCTGCTCTGGACGCCTCCAGATGCCTCTAGCTGTTCTCTCTCTCATATCTACAATAAAAAGCTTAGCCATATCATGGAGCAATCATGTCAGCAGTTTCGTTACTGCATCTCCTCGTATACAAAAATTAAACACATGCTCAAGCCTTTGAAAACATGCTCATAACTCAATGTTCAAAGCACATGCAAGCTGTTAGATTATATTAGGTTGTTTAAGGCAGCTGTAGAGAGACAGAAGGAGGAAAGAAAGAGAGGCTTGGTCTGACCTGAGGTGGGACCATGTTTATTCACAGCGAGGAAGCACTTTATCACTCACGTGTGCAGATGGCCAAATGCCTACAGAAGAAGATGGGATGCGGCCCCTTATAGGGGGCGGAAATGACTTCTGTGGTCCACAAGGGAAGCTGGGAAGTGTAGTCTTTGAGCAGGAAACTATCATTCCTACCTCTGAGAGGATATTAAAAAAAAAAAAAAAACCCACAGGGCAAGGGTGTTATAACTGTTCTGCTGAGGAGGGTCATTGTTGGACTGGGTGGTTTCAGGTCCATTGAAGAGGGGGATCTTCTGGTCACGTAGCAAGGGGAGAGTCTTAACTTGATCAGCTGCAATGGATCATACAACTGTCATCCTGCATTACTGAAGAGACTAAAAAATTATTATTAATGTATTCTATATTAAATTATTATTAATTTATAATATTATTAGTAATATTAGAGGGTTGTAAACAGGTGATTTTTGTTTACAGAGTGAAACTGAGAGGTTTTCCAGGAAGGTTGAGGAGAAGGGAGGAGCAGAGGTGGGAGAGACAGAGTGGGCCACTGAGAGAAAGTCAACACAGAGCTGACTCAGGGTGACAGTGGCTGGTCCTACTGCCGGGACTGCTGCACCAAAATGAGCAGAAATGGCAGGGGGCTGCAGAGTAACAAAGGAAGAGAAGGGGAGAAAATAAAGGACTCACGTAAAGAACTTAGCCGGGGTTTCCTCCAGCATCTAAAGGGTCTTTCTGGAGACCTATTGATGGGTTCCCAACACGCCCCCACATAATAACTAACACCTATCAGGAAGAAATGGAGCTGTCGTAGGGTGAGAGCTACTGGGAAAGCTCATATGGGACATTTTGTTTAGGTAGAGGGTGAATTCAGTAAGGAAAACTTTGTAAGGGCAGGGTAAAAACACAGGTGTGAGGATAATAAAGAGGAAAGCAGTAACCCAGGGGAGAGTAAGAGGGGAGAGAACCAGAAGCCACACAGACATGGTCCCTGTCCCTAGGCCCATCTCAAACCAGTTCACAGAGGTGTTGGCCTGGATGTTCACAGAGGCGAGCACAGATCCCATCCCAGGAGTCAGATCTGGTCCTTTTTAATCGTGGAGCACTGCAAGCAGTCAAGGAGTTGAGCGGCTGGTCCTGAGAGAGGTGAAGCTGATCTGAGAGGGTGAGACAGAAAGGTTCATCGATGCAAAGGAGGCTTCAGTCCAGCTGCTTTATTTAGTTCTGAGTCCCAATAACAACGTTCAGAGCGGCAAGAAGAGAGATGAGTTGGATGGCCTGTGGCCCCTTAGTCCCCTTGGAGAGGTCACCTGCTGTGGGATGGTCTGTATGTCAAGTTGCTCTGATTGGTCAATAAATAAATAAAACACTGATTGACCACTGGCCAGGCAGGAAGTATAGGCGGGACTAACAGAGAGGAGAATGGAGAGAACAGGAAGGCAGAAGGGGTCACTGCCAGTTGCCATGACAAGCAGCATGTGAAGATGCCAGTAAGCCACGAGCCACGTGGCAAGGTATAGATTTATGGAAATGGTTTAATTTAAGCTATAAGAACAGTTAGCAAGAAGCCTGCCACGGCCATACAGTTTGTAAGAAAAAAAGTCTCTGTATTTACTTGGTTGGGTCTGAGCGGCTGTGGGACTGGCAAGTGACAGAGATTTGTCCTGACTATGGGCAAGGTAGGAAAACTCTAGCTACAGTCACCCAAACTGCTTTTAGGGTTTGGAGGAATCTCAATGACTGCCTCTAGGCTGACAGAAGGGCAACAGGGGAGCAGCAGTTAGAGTGTCTCAGAAGAAGGTCTGTCCGGGGGACTGTGATAAAACTTAACAGTTATCAAAGATCCAGAACATGCCAGGAGGTATTAACTATACAGCTTTGTGGAGAACATTAAGAGACAGTTACACGAGGAAATCTTTTATATCAGGATTAACACGAATTAATATAAGGTTAACTATAAAATTAGCACCAGGTTGAATGCAATCGTACAACTGGATGGACTATGTATCAGAGTCCTGTAGAAGGGTGAGGTAACTATAATTATTTGTTTGTTACAGCAGACTCCTGCATAGGGAACAAGTACCCAGAAACTTGGAATAGAGCAAGTTGTTAGTTTATTAAATAATGCTGCTGCTAAAGTGGTAGCTCATAGAACTAATCCCTTACTGCCTCATTGATTACCTAGTCTTCCTTCCTCCTCATCACCCATTAGAATTATATCTTAATAGTATAGAAATTTACAGATGTCTTAATTCTCCTCAATGGTCTGTAACTCCTTACAAGAAATTATAGACTTGATAATGATGGAAAGAACACATCTTAAACAACTTGCTGATAAAGAGCCTATAAAGATTATTGTGTCACGAAATAAAATGCAGGTTTATTATTTGTCCTACACTAATAATAGTTGGCAGGTAGCATTAGCTTATTACTTGGGACCTATGGATAATCAGTATCCCAAAGATCACTTTTTAAGATTTTTTTAAAGATATCCCATGCGCATTACCTGATATTACACATCTAAAAATCCCATAGATATTGCTTACTAGTGCTTTTAAAAATGGCTCTTCAAAGGACTAGGAACATGTTTTATATACAAATTCTACATCATTCACACACAAAAAAAGTGTGCCCACCCCTGGTTGTACACTCAATCTGAACTCGCTGTAACAAATCAGCTCTTATTAGATGTCTCCCAGCTAGTGAATATTTTAACTGAGGCTGCATGTTACGCTCAAACTGTTTCTCTTTTAGAAACTACAAGACTTAAACCCACCCCACTACTAATGTTATTTCACAGCTATTTCTCTCCCTTTAGACAATGAACCCAACCTTTCTTCATAACTCATATTCATGCTCATTCTAATCTGCTAGGTTCACTAACATCTGC